GTAACTGATAGTTTGACATTTATAAGGGAAGGAGAGTAATCAATTATTTCTGTTATGAGCTGGGAAACAGAATATGCTGGGATCTCTAAAAGATATTGTTAAAGAGTAGGGGAGTAGAAAGTCTAATTTGTAAAGAAGATAATTAGTTCAACATGACACTTTTTGAGGTAACCACAGAGAGTTAAAGAAACATAATATTTCTAATACATTGGATAATGGGAAAGTTAATTTTCCTATTGGTATTCCTACGGTTATTATGGTTTGACTCTTTACAGATGGAGTTTTACTATATTTCCAAGTTGAGTAAAAGTAACAATTTGGGTAAGATGTTATTAATAAAACAGACTTAAGTATGTACACAAACCAATCAGTTTCCAATGACACTGGAATGATAATATAGAAGAACAGTAGAGGTTTCCTTCTGCTAAGTGAATATAAAAACTGAATTGGGTCCTAAGTTTGGTTATGCATATTTAAGCATACTAGTGCTCACGCTTTTTTTTTTTTTTTCCACCTAGTCCTGCAGAGTACTTCTTGGATTCTTTTCTGAATACTGTTTCTCTTGGGCTTATTGTGTTTTCCAGATGATGTTCAGAAGTAAGGTCTGAGCCATCTGTGGTCATTAATGATCCCATGACAGTTTTTACTAGAAGGTTATGGCCCAATTCCAAACTGAGTAATTTTATTTTATAACTCTTGTTTTCTTCTCCCTTTTCAATTATAGAAATTCTCATGTCCTCCTCTATACTGGTTTCACTCAAGCGGCATAACGTACAAAGTTTAACTTGGAAGAAAGAATGTGTAAGCAAGGAAGTCTTGTCCTTAGGTTTTCTGTGCAGTTCTCCAGTTAATTGTCCATCATTATGGATGCACAAATCTGGCTGAGTTATCAAATAGCTATCACCTTGTGTCTTTCAACCAAAGGCAATCAAAGCCCTGAGGCACACTGAATTAAGAGGATTATCGTGAAAGACTTATACAAATGAATATTTAATACCAACCTGAGTTCTCCAGAGTAACTTTCCCAGGTGACAGAGAAAACAATTTCCTTCTCTTTCATTAGGGTAAACAAGTCCTTGAGAGTTAACAAAATATTGCAAATGGTTCATATTTCAGGAAAAAAAATAACGTTTGAATGGATCAATCTCCTAGTTTGGATTTTACTGAAGAAGTTGTTGTTTCTTAAGTAAAGCAGTATCATTCTCCCTTTGCTTTTGAAACATCTCAGAAATGTTAGAAATACTGATTCACTAAAACTTAGATTTGAAATAAAAATTCTCCAAGCGCCTAGGTGAAAATAAAATGGGGGGAGTTTAAGTTGGATCACTTATGATGTCTCTTATTCCTTCCCACCTCTCAAATAAAACACTACTTTTAAAAAGTGATTTAAAGAGAAAAGACTGAAATGCAATGCCCACACAAAACATAACTCAATGCTTATTCCTTTCCCTACTGGAATGTTCATAGGAGCCTGGACAACCAAAGTGGGCTACCCTCAGTACAACATGGACCATAAATTTAACTGAAAGTTAATTATTTAGAAACTGGGAAATTTTTACTTTTATTTATTTATTTTTGAGGCAGGGTCTCACTCTGACACGCAAGCTGGAGTGCAGTGATGCGATCACAGCTCACTGCAGCCTGTGCCTCCCAGGCTGAAGCAATCCTTCCGCATCAGCTTTCAGAGTAGCTGGGACTACAGGTATGTACCGTCACACCCAGCTGATTTTTTGATTTTTGTAGAAACAAGGTCTCGAACTCCTAAGTAATCTTCCAGCCTCAGCCTCCCAAAGTGCTGGGATTACAAGCATGTGCACCATACCCAATTTTTTTCTTGCTTTCCTTTTTAGGTAATAATGAGACAATTGCCTCTATTCAAATTTGTGTAGAACAACAGAATACATCCCCTGGAAATAGCTGTTACAGGAACTAATTTGGCCATTAGCAGGAATTTAATTCTTAGCTCATATTCCAAGCAGATACATTGGTTTCAAGATCGAAGCAAAGTAAGAATGGGAAGAGGATATGCATCTTCACAGCTTCCAGTCAAGCCTAGTTATTGCAGCCACTTAAAAAAGCAACCAATTTCTGAGTTTGCTTAGCCTTTGGAGATTATTTTGTTTATTTTTTTCTTTGCCTCATCTAGCTTTTTATCTGGTCATTAATGGAAAGATATTAGGGTCCTTCCAACTTTCATTTAAAAATAACATTTTTGAATAGTTATTGGAACTAAAATTATAAATAATGGATATAAGGCTAATTACCAATATTCTACATTTAGAGCCAACTGGTGCCTATGGAGACAACAGCTCAATATTTTACAATGTGCCAATTTGCTAAAAATAGATAAATATGGAGATTATTGCTGGAATTAATTCAAGAACATTCAAAATGAGATGACTAATGTCAAGGAGTAGCATTTCTGTAATGTAAATCCAGCTGAGCTGTTTTATACCCATTATTGTCCAATCTTTTTGCAGAAACTAGATCTTACAACCTGAAAAAGAGAAGTTAAAGCAAAGCTACACCATTCCAAATTAGCAAGAATTTATTGTAGCTAGTATTCCTCCTAGACAGGTGGGACCTGCCAGAGTCAAGCCTCAGGAGGATGGCAAAAACCCAGTGTCTGTCGTCTCCAGGTATGAAGATTTGCTCTGACCTTTCTTTTTCAGGTGTATAAACTCACAGGTTCAGTTATCTGTGTGGTTACTACCTCCTTTTAGAACTATCGGTGATAATAACTCTACCAATAATATGTAATACAGAACAAATAGAAAATAACCACAAGGAAAAATGAATAGTCCACCGCATTTGAGGTAAGTCCTTCCTGACTTGGGTAGCTAATCTACTGTGGATATATAGGTATATATGCAGGAGACTAATTCTCAACCAACTTACCCTCTCATTAGATTTACAAGTTTGGGCTTCCCAAAATTGTCTCTATACTATGCTACCCAGATCGTTTTCCCAGTCAGAGATATTGGCCCTGTGGCAGTAACTAGTGGACCCAAACAGGACCAATAAAATTTATTCATCCTCATTCTCTCTCTCTGTCTCTTTACCTCTGTTTCTCTCTCCGTCTCTTTACCTCTGTTTCTCTCTCCCTTTGTCTCTCTCTTTCTCTCATCTCTCTCTCTCATCATTTAGAATTTAGAATAGTAGCTGGGGTGGTTAATAACTGAGTCTTTTTTGAAGCAGGGCCCTAGAAAGAGTTTATGAATTCCTGTTATTAAAATTCTACCCTGGTTCCCATACGCTTGGTTGTTCAACTTATTAATTTCATATGATCTCTACTTTTTTTCCCAATAAATTCCTTTTATAGACTCTTAAAGTTGGTTTTGGATACTTGTTCCCAATCAAAAAACTCATATATAATAGAAGTGGTGTGTCCTGAAGCAGAAGAGGGAGAAAGGAATATAGGTAGAGTGAAAGATTAAAGGTGATATTCACCATTAACCAGCTATAAATATAATTAAACGAATCATTATTTCCTTCAGGACACCAGCTTATTTTCAAATTTCTAGTTAACATACCTTTCTATTGCAGTCTACATGAGCCCTTTGTATAAAAGTATTTTGGCAAAATGTGTATGATACTAACTTTTTATGCTAAACTTTTGGCTTCTAGGAAAAATAGAATCTCTTAGACTAATTTGATTCAATTATTATACATTAAAATATTTCTAAATGTTATCCATATATTTAGAAACTCAGTTTCTTTGGTTTGTATAATTCTATTGCTTATATGAGAATCTGATAATTTTTGTTGTTATAAATGGTAATTTATCTAAGGCATAACCAGGGGCACAGGAGAACTATAATGTCCTTTGTGGAGATCCTGAGGGCTCAGAAGGTTACGGCATTTAGAGTTGAGTTTGGAAAGGTTTAGGATTGCATATCACCTCCCTAATCAAGGTTCATTCCTGTGGTGTTGAGGAACCCAGATGTAGTTGTGGAAATGGTGATCACGTGATCATCTTTGAAGTGTGCTTTTCGCAACCAAGCTGTATCTACATTTTCAATCTCCCAACCAGCTCTGCATTTTCTCTCCACTCTTCTGCCTGACTGGGCCCTCATGTGATGGATGTAAGCACAGCATGCCTATTTATCTTAGTGCTGAGAACTCAGTTTGGAGGTGAATTGGGGGTGGGGATGGAAGGGTAGCATAAAACTTAGCAAATGGAGAAGAAAAGAGATCTAAGTGTGAAGAAAAGACTATAAAAGAAAAAGATAAAGAGAGAAACAGTGGGTATTGCTAATGCATTTGAAGTGATCCTTTGAGTCTTATGACACTTTGAATATTGGCTTATCTAAATTCGGCCACTGAAGTTTTCAAAGGAAATAATAAAGACATACTACGCTCTCATCCATTAGCATGGTTAATATTTACTCTGGGCCGGGTGGAGTGGCTCACGCCTGTAATCCCAATACTTTGAGAGGCCAAGGTGGGCTGATCACTTGAGCTCAGGAGTTCAAGACCAGCCTTGGCAACATGGTGATACCTTGTCTCTACTGAAAATACAAAAATGAGCCAGGCATGGTGGCATGCACCTGTAGTCCCAGCTACTTGGGAGGCTGAGACAGGAGAATTTCTTGAACCTGGGAAGCGGAGGTTGCAGTGAGTTGAGATGGCACCACTGCACTCCAGTCTGGGAGACGAAACAAGAGTATGTCTCAAAACAAACAAACAAAAATTACCTGAAGAGAATAGGAGTGGGGTGGAAATGGAGAATGTGTGTATTTTATACAGAGAGCAGGGTACTTCTTGTTTGCTTAGAGCCATGAGTACTTTAGGGCTTGATCTATGAAATTACTCAATTAATAATACCTTACATTTCAAAAACACATTGTTGGCAAAACACTTTTATTGTTATCTCTTTAATTGAGACACACCAACCTAGTTTGAAAAAAAAAAAAAAAGGCAAGACAGGATTTGGAGGGTTCTTTTTATGTGCTTACTATACAGACAGAGACCAGGCTCAGAAAGGTTAAATTACTTACCCAAGATCACATGACAAGCAACTGGCAGAAACAGGTCTAGAACCCAGGAAAAGGGTCTATTCCACTACAAAGACATGAAACAGGACATTAAACAAACAACATCTAAGAAAATAAGATCTGTAGATAATTAAGGATAGGAAATCAGGAGGGTCACGTTCCCATGCTAAACCTGAATGAAATGACTGCAAGTGTGTCTCTCGGATCTAGGCAGACAGGAGAGGGAACTGAACTTTGACAACTTCAGTCTTGCGAGGGGGACCAATAGAGCTGAGCTTGCATTTACACAAAGCCCATTCTGAATAGGCACACAGAACTGGTCATCTGTCCCAAAACATCTCCCCTAATGACCCATCATGATTATTCCCGCCTTCTTACATTTGTTCCTTCAACAAGTATTTATTGAGAATCTAAAACCTGCCAGCCATAGCTTAAAATACCTGTTTTGCCTAAAAATACTTATTTGGAAAGTTTGAAGAAGCACACCTTGTCTTAAAGTTCTCCTTCCATAGCCTCACCCACTAAACACTAGCTTGAGCTGGTATTACTTAATCAGAAAAACTGTACCTGAGTCTGAGAGGAGGAGAAAAGAATGGAAAAACTCAATGCCAAAGAGATTGGGAACAGTGAGCAAGATATCAAGTGCGGCTATGGCAATTGACAAATACTACCAAACTTTATCAGTTGAAGACAAACTTCACTTATAAATTATTTAGGCTTTCTGCTGTTCTCATGGACATGCCAATTTAGTCAGAGAAAATACACTCTTAGAGTCTGGCAGGAGTATTTTCATGGAAAACAGTGGTTGCAATTTGTTCCACGCTGGGCACAATAGGCATACTTCAGAAACCAAATCCCTTCAGTCTATTTAAACCTAAGAAAAATCCAATTCATCGGACACTAACATTTGTTTAACAGTCATTTGAGGGACTACTTACCACTCACCCTCCCTGTCCTCCAATCATGCTTTCTCTTTGTGAAATATTATTATGTGGATACTTTAGAGGGAAGAAAAGAAATCCAAATGAAGGTAAAATTAATTTTTGAGCACACACCCCTAAGCACAGACCAGCACTACATGCATTTAAAAAAAAAAAATCTTGCTGCTGTTAGTTGATTTATTTCATGGATCACACAAATGGATTTATGATCGATCTGTAATAGTTGTGAAGCAAAGCAGTGAGTTCAAGTACTCCGAGCCTCAAAGGAAGAGCATGTGAAGATCCAAGGCTGTGGTAACAGAGAGGGTGGGGCTGTAATGCTGGCTGTTGACAGAGGAGGACATGGAGGGGAGACAGTACCAGCTATGGGAGTTCAGAGAAATACGGTCTATAAATGGGTTCATTTTATGTCACTTTTATTAAAAACTGGTGGCTGTCATGTCTATAAGTCAGTAACAAGAATCACTGATAATCAATTCCACTTTAAAATTTCATGCCAACACATTTTTAGAAAAATCTCCTAGTTATTCTAGCCATTTAGATATGGTACAGCTTGTGAAAAGACTATAAACCTGGTTCCATATTTATTTAGCAAACAGATTATTCAGGGTTAACATCAGTTATTTCATGTACCAAGTATTATGCTAGAGATAAAATAAGAATTATGTTTTCATCCTTTTCCCCAAGCAGCTCACAGTGTGGACACCAGAATGTGAAAAAATGAATGTCAAATACTGCAATAAGTGAGAATAAAGATAGTACAACATACAGCATGGGCAAAAGAAGGTGGAAGAAAACTGAATTAGGAAGGTTAAGAATGGCTTCAAAGAGCTAACTCTTGCAGGGAATGGGAGAACAGTTCAGGCCGAGAGCCAAGTATAATGTGGACAGAGAATAGAGTACATGCAAAGGCACCAAGGCCTGAAATCTTGCTATGGTGTCATCAGGTTAAAAAAAAAGGGGGGGGGGTCTGAGTTTGGCACTAGAAAGGTAAGCAAAATTAGATTGTGTCATGCTGAATCATTTATATTTTAACAAGGAAAATAACACAACCAAATTTGCATTGTGTAAGATACACAGTGTTATTTGCAAGGTAAACCAAAGAACAATGTGGTGGTGGAACTCCATGTAGAAAGTTATTGCTTTTGTAGGGATATGTAGTCATGAAAAGTCTGAGCCAGGTTATTTATATAAACAGGGTAGAAAAGCAGAGGATTTATTCAATCTTTTAAAAGAACCAAAGGATTTAGAAACTGGATATGGGAGTTGAAAGAAAGTACATTCAAGATTACTCTTAGGTTCCTAGAGCTCTGAGGCTGTATGGGCAGTGTCAGAGCAATAAGTGTAGTGAGGAAGATCAAGTGTGATACAAAACAGAAGACACTGAGTTTGGTTTTGAGTATAATAAACTTAGACCAAGATAACTATGAATCAGAAGCTAAAAATAGGCATCTGGTCCTCAGATCTGGCAGTCACACAGGTGGCTAAAGCTTTGGACATGGATGACATGAGGAGATCACCTAGGATTAGTGAGTCAAATGAGAAGAGAGGAATGAATCATGATCATGATCCAGGTTATCATGAATTTTGTGGGGTGGGTAAAGAGCAAGGGAAGCTTATAAGGAGACTGAGCAGGGTCTTATTGGAGAGGGAGAACAAAGAGAGCTGTTACTATCATGCAGGCCCAGTGAGGGGACAGTTTCAGGAAGAGGGATGGACAACAACACAAGATGCCAAAGAGACATCAAATAAGATGTAAAATGAAGGGTCACTGGTTGAGGTGCCCTTTCAGAATATGTTTTTCAGTGAAATTATGAAAACAAAAGCCAATTTAAACTAGATGGAATAGTGAATGGGGAGCGAAGAAGAGGAGAAAGTGAGTGTGGAGAGTACTTGGAACTCTGTTCTAAAGGGAGAGTGAGAGAGAGCACTATAGAGATGGGGACAGAGTCAGGAGAGGATCCTTTAAGATAGATGAGGCAAAAGCATATTCATAAGCTATAAGGAGAGGAGCCAGTGCAGCACAAGAAGATGAAATCTCAAGAGAGACAAGAGCATGAGGGAGTGGGGTTCTGGGAGGGAAAGAGCAAGAGCACAAGCAGAAGGCTCAACTAAGACTAGAAGGAACTCATCTGTAACTGCGAAAGGTAGACATAGCGGGCACTAGATCATCCTGAAAAACTGGAGGCTCTAAAACAAGTCTCACATTGCAAAACTTGGGGAGAAAAATTTCTTATGCTTGTATTATCTTTTTTTTTTTTCACATCAAGTATGTTTAAGCCCTACAAAAATCCTTAAGGTGGGATCTTTTCATTTGTGTTTGGTTTTTGGTTTTTACTCTTCATTCTACAGAAGGAAACTGAAGCCCAACGTGATGTGATTCATTCAAGATCACAGTCAGAAGTGGCCTCCACTAAGGACTCACAGTGTAGTATTCTTCCCCACACTTCTGAAATGTTTTGAAGATTTAATTACAAAGGTACAAAAGCCACCTGACCACACTTCAGAAATTCAAAAGGGAGAATTCCTGCATAAAATCACTTCTTTAGTTTGCAACAGACACTGCTTACTTGCTCTAATGCATTTATTAAAACTCATAGGGAAGCGAATAGTTAAATGCTGCTGTACCTTCTCTTCAGATGACCTGGTTATGTGCAGCCTTTGAACTATTAACAGAGGAAGACTTGTCTTACTTTATCAATATGATTAGTTAATATATATGCTCTATTATTGCCTGAAAGAACGTCAGTACCCTTCCTCATGGGGCCAGGTAAGAGTCTGAAGTCTATGGATAAATTCAGCCCCAGGCAAAACACTGACAATTTCCCTGTGACAGAAGCAAAGGAGACCCCAAGCTACCGTCCCTCTTGGTGAACAAGAGTACTGCCCTTTAGCATGAAACATCAAAGAAGGTTTCTGTAGTTTTGCCAGCTCAGCAAGAAAAAAAATTAACTCTGCATTTTCTTATTCCAGTTGCCTCAGCATGGGTTGGTAAGGGAGGGGGCTGGGGAAGAGAGTTACACAGACTCTGTCAACAGGAGAAATCAGGGCTCATTGTGTATGGGCCCTGGCATGGGTTTGAAGGAATTACAGAGTCACCAGAAATGAACATTTTCGAGACTCACCATGAATTTTCTAAGGTTCTCTACAAGTCCAGATAATTTGGGAAAAAAAGAAATGAAAAGAAAAGAAGGAAAGTGCCCTTCAAGTATTTTTTTCTGTTTAAATTTGCAAACCTGTGGTGAAAAACACTATTGAAAAAAAATACAAGAAGCTTCAATTATATTAAGTAAAATATCTCAGCTTAATTAATTCACTAAGTCCCTGGGTGACACTGGGTGTGGCTCAGAGAGCTTTGGGAGGAATCCCATTTATCACTAGGAAGAATCGCCTGCACCAAGCAGCAAGGCAGCACCTTCCACACCTTCCCAGCACTGCAGGAAAAGGCACAGTGAGGTTGGAATTCTAAATCACAGATCACACTCTCAGAGATAACATTTATTTGTTGCATGAGGTAAAAAGCTGATTTTGGCTTGAATAGGGGGCTGGGGAGTAGAGGGACTCCTTGCTTGCATGAAATTCTTTACACTTCAGTTACAAACTAAAGTCATTCTTTTTCAACAAAAGAAACACCTCATAGTTTTCTTGCTTTGCAGACACAGATCATACCTTGCCAAGTTTTTAATCATTTGGAATCCACATGGCAATTAAGCTACTGAAAGTAAGCCCAAAGATGTTTGAAAATCATAAGGCAGTACAATCTTAGGGATTCTTTTATTTTATTCCTCCATTGCCCACTCCTTTACCATATTCTCAACTCCATGCCACCCTCATTCTCTTCTTCCTGCTGTAATAATCTATAGTGGTAACTAATGGCTAATATAGATAATTTATGATTTTTTTCTCATCCACTGGCAATGTATTCCAACTTAGAAATCCAAGGTTGCTTCTTTATGCCGCTCAAGTGGAAGAGGAAGGAAGTGCAAGCCCTTCAGCCCCCTCCCACATTTCTGCTGGATTTTATGGGTGTGGCAGAGTTTAGACCTTTGCAGGTTTTTGCCCTTGTTTTATTCCCTGTTAAGTATTAGGATGATGAATAGATGCCAGCAGAAGGTTGGAAACCACTAGATTTTGTCATAAACGATATAGAATTTCATCCACAAGCAGGAAACCTGCGTGAAACTTAAGTACTCATGCTACATAAATGCCAGTCAATGTAGTGTGAGCCCACGCCCTGAATACACCATTTCCTTTAGTCTGATTGAATGGTATCCTAAATACTGGCTAATGTGAATGATACACGACAGTGGTATATAAGAAACATGATCATTTCACATAGAAGTACACATTATGAAATGCATGAGCAAAATAAGGACAATTTCTATACCTTTCATTTTCTCTTTTGAATACAAATGATGCTAAAACACAGGGAAGCATGTGGAAACCACACTTACACATGCAACTGTAGCATATGAAGTATGTGGATGCTGTACACATTTACATGTGAATTTCCACAACTCTAAACACACAATTTCAGCTTCATCACTTTGCACATCAGAGTGAATGCTTGGGGTGGTTGGTGAGATAGAACCCCAAAATGAAGACATTTTGGGAAGGGAATTCCTTTAGCCCTAATTCCCTTTCTAAAAATCATACATGGTTTCCTTTATTAAAGGAGATGTATGTATACTTGTCTGTGTACATACAGGGTGGGAACAAGTTATAAACCTGAATATTTTTCTTTCCAAAATTAAAGCTTTTTAAGTGAATAGCTTTGGTTTACTTAGTGCTCCACCTTCCTAAATTTTATTTCCCCAGCTCACCAGTGAAGTAACCTCAGGACTTTTCTTTGACAGTGTTCTTAACCCAGACACCTGTATTTATTACATTTATATATTAAAATGAAGGAGGACAAGGAGAGAAAATGTCCTAGTTTGAAAAAACGAGCCAATGGAAGCATCCATCTCTGTAACCATAGGGCAGTTTCAGGAGATGCTGCAAACACCCCCTCCTCACAATCTCCCACTATCTGACTTTTCCCCAAATAGCCCCATACAATCCAGGATGGCTGCTACCTTATTTATTTATTTATGCATGCCAAACCTCTACACCCACTGTTCTTACATTCTGCTTCTGTCTCCCTTACCCTTCCTGTTCCTTCTCCTTCATCCTCACTCCCCACCCTTCCTTCCAGGGCGCTGGCTAAACGTGCTAAGCTGGCAGGCTGCTTCTTCTCCACTCTCTTCCACCCCATTTGGATTCAGGCAGTGTATTACAAATTGTCCAATTTCCAATAGCTGCACTGGAAATAATACTCAAATTCTATCTCTTGCACCCCACCCCTAAGACAATCAGTCTGCAAAGGGCTTCTTTGACCAAGATTGCCCCCACCACACCCCCACCCCTGCCACAGGCACACACATGCACACACTCACCCATATCCCACACCCATTTTTCTCCTTAACCTTTGCCAAAATCACTCAAATGCATTCCAACAAATGTTTGAAAGCGTCTTTTGGAGACTGTTATGGCATGGTTGGTTGCTGAGGAATACCACACTCGTCATTCCTTCCCACTCTCACCCCAATCAAGTTTCTAAAATGTCTTTCAAGAAATAAGCGAGCAATTGGAAATGGCTGTAAAACCTGGGCAGTGGGGGAGGGAAGGAGGGGCTCTGATTCTTGCTAATCTTGGATGTGTCCCTCTTCCTGATGAAAATGAGTCACCATACTTATTATCCAGGATGTTAGCCCTTCTCTGGTCACTGACAATCCCAGGATAGAAGCAAGGGAAGGGGAGAAGAGAAGAGACCTGGTTTCCAACAGGTAATACCGGGCTGTCTTTCCCATCCCAAAGGAGCTCCTAGGGGCGTGGTCCACCCTCTCCCCCGACCAGCTGGTGCACAATCGGCTGCTGATTTTAGGAAGGGGATTTTCCCCTTCTGCATGGCCAATTTCTCCACCCCACCCCACCCCCAGCCCTAGTTGTCTTAGGTTCTCTTCAAAAAAATCTATCAAATCACAGTTTCATTCATTCATTGAAAAATAAATAAATAAAACCTGCACGTTTTTCTATAAATACCTGCGCCCCTTCGAAGCTCATGCATGTACAAAATGAGGCATCTTCCGCAGCACATGTGAGAAAATTGTATGTCACAGAGGCAATACTCAGTTCTCAACATCATTTTCTCAACCCCGCTTTTTGCAAATAATATAAAGAATTGCCTCCCCATCTTGTAGGTAGAACTCACATCATCTTCCCCACACCCCTTTCTATGTCCACACCCTCAAGACCAGAGAGACTCAAATGTTGAGCATTCACTAATAAGCAATATATATATATATATATATATATATGTATAATTTCTAGCCAAACAGGCATAATTTTTCTACCCTCACTCTAATTACTAGTGGCATTCCAAAACCAGAGCATGAAAGACAGAAAAGAATAAAAGCTGGGATGCAACCGTCAGTTACCATATGCTAAGGAAGCACGAGCACCATGGCCAGAGCAGAAGCAGTAAAAAAAAAAAACTGTTTGCCTTTACAGGGAAATACTGTACTCTGGTTATTTCACAACAGCAAGAAGTAAAAATCTTTAGCTCTACCTGTTTGGTTCTTCTCATACAGCACAGCATGGTTGTCTCGTCCCTCGCCTTCTTCCTGCCTTCTCTCCTTTCCTTCTCTCTCTTTCTTATTCCCCCCCTCTCCACCTCTTTTCTGCTCGCTTGCTCACTCGCTCTCTCGCGCTAGCGTGCTCTCTCTCTCTCCCTCCCTCTCTCTCCCTCACACACACCAGGGCAGTTAGCAGCAACTGTAAGGTCCACAGCTATTGCTCAACGCACATGCTCTCTCTCTCTCTCTCTCTCTCTCTCTCTCTCTCTCTCTCTCTCTCTCTCTCTCTCTCTCTCTCTCTCTCTCTCTCTCTCCTCTCTCTCTCTCTCTCTCTCCCCACTGCCTCTCTCCTCTGCCTCTCTCCTCTTCCTTCTCTTCTCCTTTTTTCTCCCGTCCCCCAATATCTATCTGTCTGTCTTTTTCTTCCCTCTCTCCGTCTCTTTCTCGGAATTGTTAGCTAGCTTTCAGTGACTAATCACTTCCCCTAGCCCCTACCCCCATTCTAGACAGTCACCCCCTCCCAGTCCCCTGCCAGCCTCATGAATATTTAAACACCTCCAATCTGGACCCAATTACCCACCGACTTTTCCACTGCATTGAGAGGGTAATGGGGTGGGGGCAGAGAAGGATATTCCAGTCAATCCAGGAGATATGATGGAGCACGTTTTAGGGAAGAGGGGCTTGAGGAATCCTTCTATTTCTTTAGGAACTCTTTTCCTCTTTTCTCAGTATTATAAAAGCAAAGAACAGCTATTTCTAAAGAGGAGTTGTAGTCAGTCCTATGCAATATAAGTCATATCTGCCATTACATTTTATGCATAGTTAATAATTGTGGAGGTTAATTTCCCTCAAAACATGAAATAATATGTAACTGTCATACACTGTTTATATATTCTCAGTATGCATATAACCTAAAATAAATACACACAATGCCTAGATATGCACAAGCATATTTTATGTATGTTCCAATATCCTGGGAAAAACCCACATAAATATATTGCGTTTTAAACATTCTAAGCACTTGAGCTCAGAAATAATAAATAATATTTAAGAATTGGCATCCATATCTAAATCACATGGTAGGTTTTTGTTCTTAATGCACATCTACCTGTTTGTAAATTGTGGTTTCTTTCTAATTTTACTGAAAAAGCTGAGCACATTCAAACAGGTCTGTGTAATAATGACAGTGATCAAAATGATATTTTACAATTTCGGCATGAGGGATTAAAGTAAATTCATCTGAGATAAGAAGAAATGATATTTTAGGAACCCTACTTCTTGAATTCCTTCTATGGTCTTTCATAATTTTGGAAGAGGAACACATGACTCTTAAAGTGTGTACAGCACAATTTTTAGTTATTTATTGTTGAATAAGTTTGAGTATGTTACTGAAGCTCCTTGTACCTAATTTTCTCATCTTTAAAATGGAGATAATAATGCCAACCTTGCCAACATGTTTTGAGAACTAAATGATATAACACATGCAAAGCACAACACAGCCTCACTGAGTGAGTGTTTAGTAGCTTTACTCCAGAGACCGTACTTTTCTGAAACTCGGGTGACATTTGCAAGTGAATATCTCAAAGAAGTTTTCAAACTATTTCTTGTTGTTCATTAGTGATGACAAGCACCCCTATTAAACAACTCATATTCTTCATAGTCCCTCCTAGACCTAAACCTAGCTAATAAGTCACCACTAGACAGCTTATTATTAGGCCTATTTCAGGATCACTGAAATAAGCTCAATAAGTGCTTAGTACATTTTAACGAAATTTAAGGTATATCTGTTTCAAAATGGACTCTCAGAAAACTACCTGGAGATGATGATGATACACAGGAGGTGATGCTTAAAATGAGCTTTAATGATTCCTCAGGAGTATTCCTGAGAATGGCCTGCTTCAGATCCAGCTGACTTGGTCTTTCATTCTTCTCAATTTCCTTCCTAGTTTTCATATTTTATGGTTAAAAAACATAATTAGTTCCTGAGTTTAATAATTTTTTAATGTTACAATAAGCCCAGTTTTGAAAGTCCAGCTGCTTTAGAACAGCCCTCTATGATTTTAAGTGATAGAAGAGGACAAAGAGTGAGTGAGAAATGGCTCCTGCAAGAAACATTCCAGGTGCAGATTAGGAACACCCTACTTAGCCTGTGAGTGGCTAAAAAGTAGTGAAGGGAGGGGGCAGGGAAGGTGGGGATTTGGGATGATGGAGCAGGAATCACTCCGTTTGGTGTTTAGACAGGGTAGCTCCATTGGTAAGACCATTTCATTAACTGTGTGGCCAAACTGAAAGTAAAGGGTGGGACTAACTCCTTTCCCTTTCAATGTACTCACCGTAGCCCTTCTATTTATATTTTTTCTCCTTTATTTTTGGGAAGGAATCTTGGAAACAAAGTGGCATAATGAAGTTAAACAAACTAGGGCTTAAAACTGGGCACAAGCATTGATGAACTTTGTGACTACATATGTGAAACCACCCAGCTCAGAATCAGCTCTCTCATCAGTTTACATGCAATACTCAAAATGAGGTAGGCGCAAGCGGTAATCCCATTTTGGTGGGGATGTTAAAGCTAAGGGAAGTTAAGTGCCTTGACTAAGTTACAGAACTAATAAGTAGCAAAGCTAGGACTCTAAAAGGCTCTTAACCTCTAGGCTACATCAGTCACCACTCAATAGGCCTCTACTCTTCATTACTTCTTGTCCTTAGGAGTTTAAACTACATAGTGGAAGTTTCAATGTTGAAATGAAATCAGCAAGATCCATCTTTTAGGCCCAACTCTTACCTCAAGAGCCGTGAGGAATGAGCTGATACCTTTATGCAATAGAGAGCCCTCCATGTGTTTCTGATGAGATGTCTGCTCCTTCAGCTACCCTCAGGTGTCTCAGTGTGTAAGGTTCTCACAATTTTGGATGCCTTCCTCTGGACCTACTACATTCTGTCAATGAACCTTTAAAAATTACCTCCCAATTATGGAGCCTAAGATTCCAAATTTAATTTGGATTATACGGAATCAATTCTACTGCAACTTTTTCTCTAAGCAATGGCAGTTATGGGTGGCAAAAGAATAAGGAAGAGAAAAGCATAAACTGATCTGAGCTTTGCAAAATAAAAATAAAAAATAAAGTAACTGATGTCCCAATTTTTGCCAAGCAACTACACAATAGACTCACTAATCCTTTTATCCTTATAACTAATCCTAGAAAATGTATAGGCTTAAACCCCATGACTAACCCTTTTATGATTTTAGATTAGCAAATGAACTCACGAGAATATCAATTAATTTCCTAACTATAGGAAATACAATAATAACGTTCTAGAAAAAGATGAGAGTGGAACAGGTCCCAGTTCCACTCTCAGACCTCTTTCAACTTTATACTAAAGCGATACTGTTGGTATAACAAACCCAGAAGTCACTGCCTTTACTTAGGGCTGTCAAATAGTCTACCATTTTAGGATTATGGCTGGTACTTGAGAGAAGACAATGCCATCAATTCAGGTAGAAAATATGTTAGTATTATTTCTCCCTTATTTTTTCTTTTATTTTACTCTGACACAGGGTTTCAGTCTGTCACCCAGGCTGGTGTGCAGTGGTACTATCATAGCTCATTACAACCTTGAACTCCTGGGCTCAAGCAATCTTCTACCTCAGCCTTCTGAGTAACTAGAACTACAAGTACACATCACCACTCCTGGCTAATTTTTAAAGTTTTTAATTTTTGTAGAGACAAGTTCTCGTTATGTTACTTACGCTGTTCTCAAACTGCTGGCTTCAAGCAATCCTCTCGCCTCAGCCTCCTCTCTTATTGTTTCAATGCTTAATCTAAGCCTTTTACTTGCTGCATTAGTTTTCTAGCGTTACTGTAACAAAATAGCACAGACTGGGTGGCTTAAAAAAGAGAAATTTCTCACAGTTCTGAAGACTGGAAGTCCAAGATCAAGATGCTGGCAGAGTTGGTTTCCTCTGAGAGTCCTAAAGGAAGGTTCTTTCCAAACCTCTTTCCTGAGCTGGCCACCCTCTGCTGCCTCTGCACATGGCATGTGTATGCATGTGCACCCCTGCTGTCTGTCCCTGTGTGTCCGAAGCTCCCCTTCATAAGGACACCAATCAAATTGGATTAGGGCCCACGTCTATGACCTCCTTTCACCTTTTCTCTTTAAAGGGTCACATTAAAGATCTACAAATACAGTCACATCTTAAGGTACTGGGAGTTAGGTTTCAACATATGAATTTGCAAATAGGGGGACATAATTCAATCCAACACCTGCTTTCTCTGTCCATACTTCCTGTCTTCATTCACTTAATCTACAGTTTCTATGTTGCAAATATCATCCTGCCCTTAAGGAAAGCCACACATACAT